ACTTAAAAAATTAAAAATTCCACATAAACTCAGAAAATTAATAGAAATGACAATGAGAACTACAAAAATAAGCATAAAGACACAAAGAGGAGAGACAGAGGAATTCAGTATAAATAAAGGGATGAAACAAGGAGATGCCTTATCAACAACGCTATTTAATCTAGCATTAGAATATGTACTGCGAAATATAAATAAAGGAAATCTCAGAACAAGAGGTGGTCAAATAATTGCATATGCAGATGATATTGCTATTATTGCAAAGAACAGAAAAATAATGAAAGAAATGCTTGAAGAAATAAGAGAGAAAGGGGAGGTAATGGGGCTAAGATTAAATCAAGAAAAGACAAAAATATTAAGATTAGGGAAAAAACCAATAAAGGAAAAAATCAAAATAGGAAGTTCCGAGTTTGAAGAAGTAGAATACTTCAAATACCTAGGAGTTACAATAAGTAAATCCGGAGAAAGGAAATCCGAAATAAAAGAAAAAATATTAGCAGCGAATAAAGCTTATTTTGCAAACAAAAGATTACTTAAAAGCAAAACACTGACTAAAAAAAGCAAGATGAGCATTTATAACACCATAATTAGACCAATATTATTATATGCAGGGGAAACAATGACGATGGTTAAAAAAGATGAAGAAGACTTAAGAATTGCAGAGAGAAAGATTATGAGAACCATACTAGGACCAATCAGAACAGAGCAAAATGAATATAGAAGCAGAACAAATGCAGAAATTAAGGAAGAACTTAAGGAAGACATCGTAACTAAAATAAAGCAATGCAGAGTTAGATGGTTAGGTCACATTTGGCGAGCAGGCGATGAGGCAGTGACATACGCAATGATAGAATGGAATCCAGGAGGAAGAAAGAGAAGGGGAAGACCGAGATCAAAGTGGCTGCAAGAAGTTGAAGAAGACCTCCAAAGGGCAGGAGTCAGTGAATGGAGAGGAAAAACTAGAGACAGGAAAAAATGGAGAGATATTGTCAAGAAGATAAGATAAACAAAAAAAAAGACTGATCCACTTAAGAAATAGGATCTAGAAAGCATTTGCGGTTTAACCCCACGCTGGGGTGTATAGCCGTTATATATATATATATATATATTATATATATATATATATATATATATATATTTGTTTCAAGGGTGAGGTCATGGCTCTTGAACACAGAACTTATAGTCAAGAATGCACTCTTTACTTTTCCGATGCGACATTTAACCTTTTGGGTATTGTCCCACGACTCATTGATTATACTTCCCAAGTAGTTGTATTGTGAGACTCGTTTAATTCTCATTTGGTTCACATACAGATTTGCTCCAGTTATGTTTTCCTTGCTGATGATCATTAGCTTGGTTTTGCTGGTGTTTATATTCAGTCCATATTCTCTACTTGTTTTCGTTATTTTGTTCATTAAGTTTTGCAGCCCCTCTATGGTATTGAAAAACACTATTGTATCATCTGCATTACCGCAGGTTATTGAGCTTGACTCCATTTATTGAGATACCTTTATCAATATCTTTTAGAGCCTCTTCTCAAAATATGCTCCGAGTACAGATTAAATATCAGTGGTGAAATTATGCACCCCTGTCTCACTCCCTTTAAGATTTTAACCTGATCTGTATATTGATCAAAATGACTGGCAAACCAGTAAACATAAATGTGACACAAGCATATGCACCAACAGCAGATAAGTCAGAAGAAGAAATAACTAAGTTCTATAAAGATCTGAAAAAAGCAATAAGACTAACAAAGAAAGAGGACATAAACATAATAATGGGCGACTTTAACGCCAAGGTGGGTAAAGGAAGATATGAAGACATAATTGGAGAGTACGGTCTTGGAGTTAGAAATGAAAGAGGCGACCTGCTGTATGAATTCTGCCAGGAGAACGGTTTTGTCGTCATGAACACATGGTTTCAGCTCCCACCTCGTAAGTTATATACTTGGAGATCACCAGGAGACCGTCCAAATCGAATAATTAGAAACCAAATTGACTACGTTTTAATAAACAGAAGATTTCGTAACGCTATCAAAAGAAGTGCAGCATATCCAGGTGCTGATATTGCATCCGATCATAATCCGATAATAGCAGATGTGAGGTTAAAACTAGCAAAAATTAAGAGAACAAATACAAATACCAGCACACCTATAAATACAAGACAACTGATGAGAGACTAAAATCTGAAGAAGAGTTATGCGAACCAAATTAATGAAAGAATGCGAGTAATAGAACAAAATGATGATATCGAAAAGATGGTCAATGATATTAAAGGAACGATTCTGGCAGTAAACAAGGAAGTTAAAACACAGATCAGAAAAAGAAAGCATAACCAATGGATGACGGACGAAATTATGGATCTAATGGAAAAGCGAAGGCAACATAAACAACAACGTAATCAAGACAAATACAAACAGATACACAAAGAAATCTGTCAGAAAATTAAGAAAGCAAAAGAACGTTGGATGGTGGAAAGGTGCAACGAAATAGAACAATTGCAGGAAAAAGGAGATAGTTTTGGACTACATAAGAAGATCAAAGAAATATCGAATATACACAAAAGCCACCACAGAACAAGAATACGCAACGACAGAAACGAATACATAGAGTCAGAAGAGGAGATGGCAATGGCGTGGAAAGAATACGCCGAAAGCCTTTTTAATGACGAAAGACCAACACAACCAACGCGCAAACTTCCTTCCGAAAACTTATCAGGGCCATCAATAATGCGAAGTGAAATAGAATATGCAGTTAGAACCACAAAGATGCATAAAGCAACAGGTCCAGATGAAATTAATATAGAAGCAATAAAACTACTAGACGAGGAGAATATCGAAATGTTGGTAAGGCTGTTCAATAGAATTTATGATACTGGTTACATTCCGCGAGAATGGCTGCAGTCATCCTTTGTGATGATCCCAAAAACAGCTAATGCCACAAAATGCAATGAACACCGCTTAATCAGTTTAATGAGTCACTTGTTGAAACTCTTCCTTAGGATATTACACTCAAGAATGTACAAGATACTAGAAGAACTTAGCGGGTCAACACAATTCGGTTTTAAGGGAGGACTAGGAACAAGAGAGGCAATTTTATGTTTGAACACCTTAATACAAAACTGCTTAGATCAACGAAAAGATGTCTACCTCACCTTCATCGACTACGAGAAGGCATTTGATAATGTTAAACATGATATCATGATGAAACTACTACATAGGGCCAACATTGACCAGAAGGAGATCAGAATTATTCAGAATCTATACTGGAACCAAATGGCAAAGGTGAGGATTGATCGAGACCAATATACGGATGAATTTGAAATCCGGAAAGGTGTCCGCCAAGGCTGCATACTCTCTCCGATGCTTTTTAATTTATATGTTGAAAATATATTTGCGGAAGCATTAGAAGATACGGAATTAGGCATTAAGGTGAACGGCATACCAATTAGCAACCTACGCTATGCGGACGACACAGTGATTATAACTGATAATTTGGAAGATCAGCAGTTATTACTTGATAGGGTGAATAGCATAGGTAAAAAATATTGGCCTCAAAATCAACATTTTGAAAACGAAATATATGGTCATTAGCAGAAACCCTCCAGAAAACCCGATAATATGCATAGGTGACAATCGTATAAATCGCGTGAAAACTTTTAAATACCTTGGCACCACAATCAATGACCAATCGGATCCACAACACGAGATAAAAACCCGAATACAAATGGCAAGACAAGCTTTTGTGAAATTCAGACCGCTCCTATGTAATCAACACCTAAACTTCGAAATACGCTACAGAATGGTCAAGTGCTACATATGGTCCATCTTGCTTTATGGTATGGAAACGTGGACTTTGAAAAAAACATCTATCAACAAACTTGAAGCATTTAAAATGTGGTCATTGAGAAGAATGATGCGCATACCTTGGGTGGATAGAGTTCGAAAAGATGACGTCCTTAATAGAGCCGGCGTGGAAAGAGAACTCTTTGAATTAATTAAAAAACGCAAGATTGGTTACCTTGGGCACATATTGAGAGGAGCAAAATATGAAATACCACAGTTAATCCTACAAGGGAAGATCGAAGGTAGGAGAGGAGCCGGCCGCAAACAATTATCCTGGTTAAGGAATATTAAAGAATGGACAGGAATACACAATACAGGTGAGCTGTGTCACGCCGCCAAGAACAGAATTCTAGTAATGAGATAGTCGCCTACGCACTTTGGTGTATGGCATGTTAAGAAGAAGAAGAAGTATATTCTCCATCTATTCGGAGTACCGCTGATTGATTCCAATACAGGTTAGCTATTATTTTTAAGTCTTTTCTGTCAATCCCTTTTCTCTTCAGCACTTCAATCATTTGTTCATGTCTGACTCTATCGAAAGCCTCTAAATCAGTCAATCAGGCATGCAAAAACCTTACAGCTGACATCTCTACATATCTGAAACAATACCTGCACGCTAAATAAAGCTTCCCTCGTACCAAAGGCGTTCACAAATCCAATCTGATTGGGAGCAATTTGTTCCTCGCATTTCCGGTAAATTCTTTCGTGGATGACTTTTAAAAACAGCTTCAGCAGATGGCTCATTAGGCTTATGGTCCTATAATCTTCACAAACTTTTGCTCCTGGTTTTTTGGGCAATGGTACGAACTTTGATTTGAGCCACTCTACTGGTATTTTTTCTGCATTATATATTTCATTAAATATTTCAGTGACTATTTTTATTTGTTCTTCTTCTAATAGCTTTAACAGTTCTACAGGAATTTCATCAAGTCCTAGTGCCTTTCCATCCTTCATTTGTCTGACTGCTGCCGTCTCAAGACATAACATCTTAGAATTCTTATGCGTATATTAATACTTTTGTCATGTCTATTTGTTGTCATTTCTACCTTACGCTAAACGAATAGTTATGTATATGAATGTTTGTGTATAAACTCGGTTCTTAAAATGAAACAAAAATATAAGGAAGTTTTTTATTTATAAACCGTTGTACAAAAATATTCTACACTACTACAAACAAAATAAATTACAAAACATAAATAAAATGTTACTACTCTAAAATAATATGTTTCATTTCTTTTTAACAACAAGGACATGATTTATCTCTCTGTATTAACAATTGATCATCTTGGGCCAAGTATTGTCTTTGACAGATCATCTTGTCATCATGTGGATGAGCTAACTTACTACAATAGAAATTATTAGTAGGTACTAACTTCGGTGTATTAAGAGATTGACAAGGTTTAGCGCAATCGTTCTTGGGAATCACTTGATACAATTGAGGCGACTCAATGTGATGTGCTTGCAAATCTGGTTTACACGGATTAGGTTTAGAGACATATTGTTGTATAGTAGGTTGTTTGTAAACGATATGATGATAAGGATCACTGTAATAACCACCTCCTGCCAGCGCAGTAAATCCATTATATATCACTTTGGGGTCCCGATTTCCAATATGGGTAATTCCCATAAGAGAAGTGGATGTAAATGCAGCTGAGTGACCTGCGGCATAAGGAACTGGTAGAGGTCTATGACTAGGTTGACATGCACATATTGATGGTACTGCTTGAGAACAGGGAGGTAATTTTGAATATGTTGAAACGGGTAACTGAGAAGAGCATGACGGTGGATTATTGTAAGTCTGAGGAGCTGCTTCAATTTTATCCCAAATTGAATTAGGATACGTTGGACTCCATTCTTCTGAAGGAGCGACATGATACAGTGAATCTACATCTGCTCTAAACCTTTTACCGTAAGGTATATTGGGTTCTCTCTTACATTGGCAGTTGGCACAGTCACAAAAACCTTTTATTTGGCAACAAGGGCAGTTAAAATTCTTTTTATTGCAAGTTGACTTGGAAGAAACTATATCGGTTATTGGTATCTCAGGAATATTTGTACTTTGGGATATTGGATATGACACTAACATTTTTTTGCCACATTGATTACATTTATATGGCACTAATGAATTGTTTAGCCATTCTTCCACTTCTTTACATCCTTTTACCGGTGATGACAGCTCGACATCTATATAACATACTTTAGTTGGAACAGGTTTCGACGGCAAAACCTTCTGCCTTTCAACTTTGTTCAAGTTAATAACAAGTGGTCTTTCGCTATGTGCATGCGGAACGCGCACGATTCCTTCTACTTGCACAGGAGAATATTCACAATCATTTTCATCTTTGTAGTAATGGTATTGTTTACAGAAAGGTTCCAGCGAAGGGCAAATCTGCTGCTCTTGACAAGGAGGAATTTTTTCGCATACTGCTTTACAGGTTTTTACAATTGGTTTCTCTTTTTGAGATGTAATACAAACAGGTGCCTCAGGCTTGTGTCCTATTGCAATAGGTACTTCTTTGCCAGATTCAGTACATATAGGCAACTCTTTTTGCGCCGTTAAGGAAATAGGAGCTTCATGATGGGAATTTATTAAAACCGGTTTTTCTTTACATGATTCAATATAAATTGGTTTTTCTGGTAAAGATTGGCATACATTAGGACCAGCTATTGGTCGACAAGAGTCGAAACAAGGAACACCTTGATTACATGAATCAATACTTATAGGTGCTTCCTTGCATTCCGTTATGGAAATAGGAGCTTCATGTGGGCAAACAGAAATTGGAGTATGTTTACAAGATTCTACATATATCGGACTTTCTTTACAAGACTGTATAGAAATAGGTGTTTCATGATGAGATATAAGAGAAAGAGGTCTTTCTTTATGTGAGCTTATAGAAATTGGTGATTCATGATGAGATATAAGGGAAAGAGGTTTTTCTTTATGTGAGCTTATAGAAATTGGTGATTCATGGTGAGATATAAGAGAAAGAGGTCTTTCTTTATGTGAGCTTATAGAAATTGGTGATTCATGGTGAGATATAAGAGAAAGAGGACTTTCTTTATGTGAGCTTATAGAAATTGGTGATTCATGATGAGATAATATAGCAACTGGACATTCTTTATTTGAATGTATACAAATAGGTTCCTCTTTGTTTGATGTAATACAAAGTGGAGTTTCTTGTTCACATGTGATTACAGGTTTTTCTTGACATATATCAATTTGTACAGGACTTTCGTGATGAGAAATTATGGATATTGGTGTTTCCTTATAATATTGTAGATTAATAGGAGTTTCTTTTTGAGCAGTTATAGAGATAGGACGTTCAGCAATAGGTAATATTGAGATAGCTGCTTCCTTATGTCCACATATCGAAACGGGTGTTTCTTTTATTGATTCTATATTAATTGGAATTTCCTTTTTAGCTGTAATCGTAATTGGAGTTTCATAGCAACAATTCACTGGAACTTCACATATGGGTACTTCTGTGCATATTGGTATATAAATTGATGATTCTTTTTTAGCTGTTATTGAAATTGGTAACTCCTTTTGTGCTAATATAGATACTGGAGATTCCTTCTCCGCTTTTATTGCAATTGGTGATTCTTTCACAGAAGCTATAGAAATTGGTGTTTCTTTTTCAAAAATGATTGAAATTGGTGCCTCTTTAACAGGCTGTATACAAATCGGTTCTTCACAAGCTGGAATCGGTTCTTCACATATGGGACAAATTATTTTTGGACATTCTTTTATATAAATTTCCGTTTCTTTTTTACCTGTAATTGATATGGGTGCTTCATTTCCACCACATATAGATATAGGCTGCTCTTTTACTGCTGGAATGGAGATAGGAGTTTCCTTTTTGCCTGTTATTTCAATAGGTGTTTCTTTTTCTGCAATTATAGAAATTGGAAGTTCTTTTTCAGCAAATATAGAAATTGGTGTTTCTTTTTCAGCAATAATAGAGATTGGTGCTTCTTTCACAGACGTGATACAAATTGGTTGTTCTTCACAAGCTGGAAGAGGTTCTTCACATATATCATGAACCACTTTTGGACATTCTTCTATATAAATGGCTGTTTCTTTTTTACCTGTAATAGATATGGGTGCTTCATTCCCTCCACATATAGATATAGGCTGCTCTTTTACTGCTGGAATGGAGATGGGGGTTTCCTTTTTGCCTGTAATTTCAATAGGTGTTTCTTTTTCTGCAATTATCGAAATTGGAAGTTCTTTTTTGGCAGTTATAGAAATTGGTGTTTCCTTTTCAGCAATGATAGAGATTGGTGCTTCTTTACCAGATAGGATACAAATTGGTTGTTCCTCACAAACTGGAAGGGATTCTTCACATATCTCAGGAACTACTTTTGGACATTCTTCTATATAAATTGGAGTTTCTTTTTTACCTGTAATAGATATGGGTGCTTCATTTCCACCACATATTGATATAGGCTGCTCTTTTACTGCTAGAATAGAGATGGGAGTTTCTTTTTTGCCTGTTATTTCAATAGGAGTTTCTTTTTCTGCTATTATGGAAATTGGAAGTTCTTTTTCAGCAGTTATAGAAATTGGTGTTTCTTTTTCAGCGATTATAGAGATTGGTGATTCTTTACCAGATGGAATACAAATTGGTTGTTCCTCACAAGCTGGAAGAGGTTTTTCACATATATCAGGAACCACTTTTGGACATTCTTCTATATAAATTGGAGTTTCTTTTTTACCTGTAATAGATATGGGAGCTTCATTTCCACCACATATAGTTATAGGCTGCTCTTTTACTGCTGGAATGGAGATAGGAGTTTCCTTTTTGCCTGTTATTTCAATAGGTGTTTCTTTTTCTGCAATTATGGAAATTGGAAGTTCTTTTTTAGCAATTATAGAAATTGGTGTTTCCTTTTCAGCAATGATAGAGATTGGTGCTTCTTTACCAGATGAAATACATATTGGTTGTTCTTCACAAACTGGAAGAGGTTCTTCACATATCTCAGGAACTACTTTTGGACATTCTTCTATATAAATTGGAGTTTCTTTTTTACCTGTAATAGATATGGGTGATTCATTTCCACCACATATAGATATAGGCTGCTCTTTTACTGCTGGAATGGAGATGGGAGTTTCTTTTTTGCCTGATATTTCAATAGGAGTTTCTTTTTCTGCGATTATGGAAATTGGAAGTTCTTTTTCAGCAGTTATAGAAATTGGTGTTTCTTTTTCAGCAATGATAGAGATCGGTGTTTCTTTACCAGATGGGATACAAATTGGTTGTTCCTCACAAACTGGAAGGGGTTTTTCACATATCTCAGGAACTACTTTTGGACATTCTTCTATATAAATTGGAGTTTCTTTTTTACCTGTAATAGATATGGGAGCTTCATTTCCACCACATATAAATATAGGCTGCTCTTTTACTGCTGGAATCGAAATGGGAGTTTCCTTTTTGCCTGTAATTTCAATAGGTGTTTCTTTTTTGGCTACTATGGATATTGGAAGTTCTTTCTTAGCGGTTATGGAAATTGGTGTTTCTTTTTCAGCAATTATAGAAATTGGTGCCTCTTTAACAGACGTAATACAAATTGGTTGTTCCTCACAAGGTGGAAGAGGTTTTTCACATATATCATGAATCACTTTTGGACATTCTTTTATATAAATTGGTGTTTCTTTTTTACCTATAATAGATATGGGAGATTCATTTCCACCACATATAGAGATAGGCTTCTCTTTTACAGGTGAAATGAAGATGGGAGTTTCTTTTTTCCCTGTTATTTCAAAAGGTGTTTCCTTTTCTGCAATTATAGAAATTGGAATTTCTTTTTCAGCAATTATAGAAATTGGTTTTTCTTTTTTAGCAATTATAGAAATTGGTACCTCTTTAACAGGGGTGATACAAATTGGTTGTTCCTCACAAGTTGGAAGAGGTTCTTCACATATATCATGAATTACTTTTGGGCATTTTTCTATATAAATCGGTGATTCCTTTTTACCCGAAATAGATATGGGAACCTCTCTTTCACCTAATATAAAGATAGGTAGATCTTTCACCGATGCAATTGTGATAGGAGTTTCTTTTTTCGCTGTAATATCAATTGGAGTTTCTTTTTCCGCAACTATTGAAATTGGAAGTTCTTTATTAGGGGTTATAGAAATTGGTGTTTCTTTTTCAGCAATGATAGAAATTGGTGCCTCTTTAATAGACGTAATACAAATTGGTTTCTCACAAGCTGGAAGGGGTTCTTTACATGTATCATGCACTACTTTCGGGCATTCTTTTATATAAATTGATGTTTCCTTTTTACCTTTAATTGATATAGGTGCTTCTTTTTCAGTCAATATAGAAATAGGTTGTTCTTTAACAGTTAATATTGCAATAGGTCTTTCTTTTTCAGATTTTATTGCGATTGGTGTTTCTTTTTGTGTAGCTATCGTAATCGGATGTTCTTTCTTTGCAGATATAGAAATAGGTGATTCCTTTATTGCTGTGATACATACAGGCTTTTCGCAGATTGGAGGAGACTGTTCACATACAACATTAATGGCTTCCGGGCATGTTTCTATACAAACCGGCTTCTCTTTTTTACTGGATATTACTATAGAAGCTTCTTTGTTGGCAGATATGGAGATTGGTTTTTCTCGAAAACCTAAAATGAGAGGGGAGTCTCCTTTTGCGATAATATGTACAAAGGAGTTTCTTTATGTGGTCCTATACTGATAGGTCGTTCTTTTTGTTTATTAATTGAAATAGGAGATTCTGGGTGCGCAGTTAGAGAAATTGGTGCTTCTTTACAGGAATCAAAGTGAATGGATTTTTCTTTGTGTGCATTTATAGAAACTGGAGATTCACGAGGGGAGTGTATAGAAATTGGACTTTCTTTACAATTTGCTATGGAGATAGGAGCTTCGTCACATATATTATTTACTATTTCTGTACATTCGTTTTTATAAAGTGGGCATTCTTTATATGAAGGTATCGAAATAGAGTCCTCTTTATTTCCTGATATGGTAATAGGTCTTTCCTTATAATTCATTACCGAAATAGGAACTTCCTTCTTAGAGGATATATAAATTGGAATTTCTTTATGTGATTCTAAATGAATAGGAGTGTCTTTCTGGCTATTAAGTAGGTGAAAAGGCCTCTCGTGATTAGAGGTTATTGAAAAAGGAACCTCACGGTGAGATGTAATTGAAATTGGTCTTTCATTGTGATTTCCTATTACTATGGGATGTTCTTTTTCTTGCTTGGATATTTTTAAGACTTTTTCTGTATTTAGTTTGCAGTATTCAATATTATGTTCTTGTTTAATATCGCATGGTTTATCTTGATCTTGTGATGGATTATAATGAGTATGATGTTTGTTATATGTATTTTGTAAAAGAATTGGAGATTCCTTTTGCAAATAGTTTAGATGTATTGGTAAATCGTGTTTGTTTAGTTGCGACCATAAATTGTTTTCTTTATAATTATCTGGGTTAATAATGGGTGTCTCTTTTTTTTCTGCCAATACATTTATAGAATGATCTCTTGGCGTAGAATAGAATACATTTTGGCTTTCTCTGTTTAAATTTGTTGATTTTACATGTGACTCCGGGGTCATAGTACCAATTTTTTTGTTGTGAGATAAGTAAACATTTTGGTCTTTAGCATAACCTGATAAGAAATTTAACGGACTTTCCTTCTGAACTGGTGGTATATCATTTGACTGGTCTTCATAAACTGGTTTTTCGCCTTCGTTATTATAAATTTCTGTAGACCTGTCGTAAGGCAAATATACGATTTTTTTGGTAGGATCCATGTCAATAGAGACTTCAGGTGGGTCCGACTCTGTTTCTTCCTGCGTTGTTGAAGCTAACTGCTCGCGAGTAATCGAACATGGTTTAGGCGATAATTTGTACTTACATGAATCAACCTCTGGTATGCCAAATGAGTTACCTATATCTACCAAGCGATCTCCCTTTCCAAAAGGTAATTCAATAATGCTTTCACTTTTAGCTTCATGAACTACATCATTAGTTAGGTCTGTGGTGTGAAGAATTTTGGGATGATTTACGTTTATTATGTTGGCAAAGGTATGTTCTTGGTTTGAGTTGGTCAAATATTTGTGTTCAAAAGTAGGTTCTTCAGAAATGGATGAAATACCTAAAAATATAATAATTATTAGTACTATTACAGTTACATAAAGTTAAATGTATTATATTTAAAGGAACCGAAATCACTGAGTATAATAATTTCTAAAGAAAACAATGTTGCCTAAAGATTGAGTGATATAAAGTACAATTTTTATTTGATTAACAAATCAACTAAACAAAAATTTAGAGAAAAGATCAAGTAGTATCACCATTCCATATACAAAATAATCCAAAGAGTAAAAATAATCTCTAATATTGCCATTTACCTATAGTCGGACAATTTTCAATTAAAGGTGACTAATCTACAAATTGAACTAAACTGTAGTGGCAACATGAAAAATTTCATTAGTAAATTCTTACCGGGGTCATTTTTATTGTGTATGCTTCGCTCATGCAAATATGTAAATTTGTAACCCATCTAAGATAAATTGCCCCCATAACAATATAAATTGGTGCGATTCACTAGTGTATAGTGAGACAAGTTCATAGAATAGTTTGGAACATCGGTAAAATTATCAATATTTTGCTGGTCTATATATATTCACGTTTTTAGAAAGAATGTTAATTAGAGAAATATGATATCTTAGTTTATTGAAGTTTATGAAATATGATATCTTCCAGATTTTACACATAAGTACATAGGCGTAGTGTATTATTGGGAATATATTTATTAAATATACTTTATTATTAACTTTAAAATAGTTTTGAGGTAAGTAAAGTAAATTTGAGGCCAGTTTATTCTTTATATAGTATTAAACCCTTAACGGCCGCTCAATATACAAAGAGAAATTTGACAATTAATTTATTAGATTGGATTAAAAACACAAATTAGGAATAAATTACAACTGAAAAGATTTTTTTTCTCATTTTTAAGGAAAACAGTACAATTTTTAATAGAGGAACATATTGTATCTTAAACGTAAATTAAATTTTAAGGTAAAAATTTTCGAAATATTCGGGGTGTAGATGCATTCTACACTTTTTACATAAATAAATAGTATTACTTTTGTACATCCTACATTTTTTCACTATTGTCTCTTTTTATAATGTGGCCAATATTGTCGAATCTGGTTTCATCTGGTAAAGCAAATTTAGATTGACGCCCATGTACTGACACTGATATAGTGGTTTCTTCACTATTATAAATTAAACTTATAAATCTATGTCGGCTCATGATTTCTGTTATAATATGCACTTTTTTATCCTCATCCTTTGACCAATGCATATCAACTTGAAGCAGAGTGTAAACCAGATAATATACATATGCTAATAATTTTTTTAAATCTATGTTATTCATTTCAAAATTGTGACGGTTATTCTCAATTTACTTTTTTATCAAAAAGAGTGAAAAAACTTCAATATATGACTTGCCTACATGGTTGACTTTTATATTGTATAAATATCAATCAGACTGATGTTGAATTACTACTGAGCACGAAAGAATATCCGTTATTACAACTTGAGATAAATTTGGATTTACTATTTTTGCCTGGTTTTTTTCTTTGGACGTTTTATCTGTGGTTCAGAGGAATATCATAATCAGAATCGTTAGAATTCCCAATCACTTGTATTTCATATGTACCTGCAATATCAGATTTTATTGATTCTTCACAAATAATATTATCATCAATCTCTTCAAGGAATACAATAATATACCAGCAAACGAATGGGAAAGATACCTGACAGAACTGTTGGCAAAGAACTGTTGGGAAAGATACCTGACTAACTGTGGCAAAGGAAAATAATATACAACACAATAACGTACCTGAACTAAGAGACGATATAGAAATCAGTTTTCACGAAGTAGAAATAGTCATAAATTCACTCAAAAATAGAAAGTCAACCAGGACCAGACGGAATAACCAACGAGCTTCTAAAATACGGATGAGAAAGTTTAACCCTAAAGATGACAAAACTTATACAAAAACTAATATTGCACTGCAAGATACCACACGCATGGAGAAATGCATAATGATACCAATGGTCAAGAAAGGAGATAAATAAGACCACAACAATTATAGAGGTATAAATCTACTGAACCACCGCACTTAAGCTTGACACAAAAGTCCTAACCAACAAAATCAATAAACTAACAACTTTATCAGATGAACAACAAGGATTCGGATCCGGATGATCCTGCGTAGACGCCGTATTTGTACTAAGACAAATCACAGAAAAGGCCATCATATGTATGTTTTATAGACCTGACAAAGGCTTTCGATCGCATCCAAGTCGAAGACGTCTTACACCTACTGTATAAAAGGAACATACCAATCAATATTATACAAACCATCGAAAGCATCTACCTCCATAATCGAACACAGGCAAAGATAAATGAGAAAACTAATACAGTGTATGCCAGTACAAAGTGGAGTCAGACAGGGTGACCCGTTAAGCCCACTTCTCTTTAATTATATTAATGGACGAAATAATACAAGCAGTACCTAAAAGTCATGGCTCCAGAATTGGGAACAAAGAAATCCAAATATTATGATATGCAGACGACGCCGCATTAATCGCCGAGACAGAAGACGAGCTCTAAAGATTAACACCATATCTTCAGTACAACAGCTAAGAAATACAATATGATAATATCAGCGGAAAAATCCAAATGTATGACATTTAAATACCCACTACGGTGTAAAATCGAAATCGATGGGAAAAATAATGAAGCCGGAAGCAAGGTTTAATATCTGGGAATAGATATAACTAGTTACGGAGATGTTGAAGAAGAAGTAACGACAGCCAAAGCTTAAAAGCAAGTAAAGCGGCGGGTTCTCTTAATGACACAATCTGGAAGAACAAACACCTAAGACAAGACACAAAAACAAAGTCTATTAAAGCAGGAATTAGACCTATATTAACATACACGGCTGAGACAAGACCTGACACATTTAAAACGAGACGACTGCTAGAAACAACAGAGATGAAAATACTCCGAGAAATATCAAGGAGAAGTCTGTTGGATTAGGAGAGAGCAGCAAAAACATAAGAAGAGCATGCAATATAGAAGACACTAAATGGATGGGTGACAAAACGAAAACAAAAGTGGAACAAACACATCAGTAGAATGGCGGAGGATAGAATAGTACGATTAGCACGAAATAAGTCACCAAACGGACGAAGAAGTATTGGCAGACCAAGAAAAAGATGGTGCGACAATTTAAACAATTTAGAAAGCTAATATTGAAGAAGAAATCGGCTTGAAAGCTTACAAACTAGAAGGAAGAAGAAGATCAATGTCTTCTACATCAGAAACTTTCTAATATAATCGCGGCTGCAAATAAACCACATTAAGTGGCATTTTCTGAAAAGGACTGCCGGGAAAAATTGGCTACAAGTAGCGTACAATAAAAAACAATGGAAAGGAAGACTAGAAGAGGCTTATGTTCAGATGTGGACGTGAATGGCTAGACGAAGAAGAAGAGGCATTTTCACAATCTGAGTCTTCTTCTAACAAAGCTATTAACTCTTTAGTAGTTAGTGCCATCTTCATTTCATATTTCGAGAATTTACTGAAATAAAACAAATGCACTGCTATATAAACGCATTCATATGATAAAAGTTTAGCTTACTTCATTTTAATTTATATGAACTTCATAATATATTTTCATATTTATATAAACAAATAAACACAAGCAAACTTTCAAATTAAGTTAAAAAAAAAACAAATATAACGTTTACAGCACACAGCAATTCTATAAATAGAGAATGATGTGTAATTAAAATTGCCAATTGTTTTTAGTCTAATCTGTTTTTTGAAGTTCTGTATTAGATACTCTCTAATAAGAATAAAATTTTATTTTATTTTGTTAGACAACTATAAGATACTTGTTAAAAGAGACATGATAATTAAATAATTAAATCGGTCTTAGATTTAATTTTTACGTAATTACTTATGTGTTTAAATAAATAATTAAATTTTTTTTTGGTACGCCTCTGCAAAATTGATAATATCAATACGATTTTGTTGAAAAGGTATCGTTAAGTACGATGTTGCCAAGTAATCACCTTCAATTAAAAATTGTTTTAGTATAGCTCTCGCGATATCTGATTATAAAATTATACAAATATTTTTTTTATTTTTTTTCGAGTCAATGTGCATGTTTTATCATAAAAAAATGCCCTTAGTTTTACTTGGAGTTTGCTACAAATTCCAATTCAATGCAGCAGATACACTTTGGAATTTATATGGCTGCATTTAAAATATTTCTGGTCTGAACTAGGAATTTAGTAGACTTGTGGATATGAACGAATCTTGTAGTTGTTAGTAATGGTAATGATTTTAAATAGTTCTTAAATGAGGAAGACCAGAAATTTAAATTGGATGGTACAGTATGATTTTTTGCTGGATGTAAAAAGTTATGGTAATACAATATTTAATTTTTACAATATTAACTTGAGTTTCTAAACTTTTTTGACCAAATTATACCTTTTTTAATAATTTCCTCTGTGTAGTTATGATAAGATTTACATTTATTTCCATAAGCAAGAGACGTTGTTTTTATTATTCAATAATTTATTTTTTAATATCAAATTCATGTTGTTAATATTAAGAGAGAAATTAATTAATAAGGTTAGTATTTATGGTACTATATTAGACGTTTTATTTAGCCCTTTCGAGTCTGACGGGACGTATGTATCCCAGTCATGAAATCATCAAGTATGTTGGACTAAATCTGAACCATTTTACATGATTTTTATCGTAACAGACTTTTTAAGAACTTAATAACCATTTTAAAAGAATAATTTGTGTAAGCGGCAACATTGCGAACCGTTTTCGCGCTGTTTTGTCTCGTGATGTTGATTTGCGGAATATTTTTATGTATTTTTGTTGATGATTACCGCAGAGGCAGTTGAGCACTGTTACTGTTGTTGAGATTTTGTTTTGGTGAGTGGAGCTACATACAAAAAAGGAAAATATATTCAATAAAACTAGTATTTTGTTTTATGAATACAATATATCCTAACAGACATTTATGGTGGGTTATGTGTGTTCCAAAAGTCTTGTTTTGTTTTAGACGAATAAAAAGATATTGACACAGAAAGAGCTAGATGAGGAGGCAGCAGCCATCTTTGAGAGCGATACAGAATTAGAAGTCGATCCTTTTGAGACTAGTGGCTCTGATGATTAAGACTACAATCCATCAGGACGCGAAGAAGAAGTAGAACAAGAGCGTCACAAAATATATTAAGGTTCCGAGGGCAATAAGATGGATGAGAGAATCAGATGATAAGTGACGAAAGTGAAGACGAAAGCAGTAGTGACGAAAATATTAAAAGAGGCAAAATACCAACCTGGTATTTAGTTTCATAATGATGGAACTTTTTTACCACGTTTTTTGGTTCCATTAGAAAAAGAAGTCGATTGTACTCTTCCTCATATCATGATCGAAATAGAAATAGTTCAAAATTTTTAATATATACGAAAGGAAAAAAACAGGAAATGATACTAGTTTATTATTGGAAGAAATAGGATTGGTCAAATTAGTTAGTACTATAAGAAAAACTGATATATTATTGTATTTTATTATATTTTTCTCATATATTAGACTACTGAATACTCTATATTATCCAGTGATAGAAATATTAATTGAAACGAGATTAAATGTACCTAAATTTGTTGAAAAGTTGGATAGTGGTGACTCAGAATTCAGAGTAAATAACCACGGTACCATAGTTTGCAGATGGCAGATATTGAAGACTTGCTAGCAGTAAGCAATTGTTTTGAAGATAAGCAAGTAAAAATGAAACAAAAAATAAAGAATGGCTCTTAAATAAATGTGTGATGTCCTAAACTCCTCGAAATGCACAATAAGAAAATGAGTAGCATGGACCTAACAGATTATATTTTGAACTTGTATGACTTTGATAGGAAGTCTACCAAATGGTGGAAGAAAGTATTTTTTGCTTTCTGATGATAGCTGTTAAAAATTCGCTAAAAATGATGTGATCTAAGAAGGAAAGAAAATACACCATTGTTGCTAAGGGACATTTCATTGGAAAGAAGCCATGCTGCTTTTAAAAGAAAAGCCTCGACTTCACTTGGACGTCATCTAGCAAAGAAACAACAAAAAATTGTTTAACTTGGGAGATTATTTACCTATCGAAGAGAGGACCGGTAGAAGATGTCAACGATGTTCTTTTCTAAAATAAAAGAAAAACGAATGATCACACTATGTTAAAGCTGCAATATACCCTTGTGCAAAACATACTTCAAACCTTTTCACTTAGATTAAATATTGATCTTAGTTTTAGTCATTTTGTTTTTAAAATATGAGATTTTATTTGTATTTTCGATTTTTTTTGATCCAAAATAAAATTATAATTTGGTGTCCGATGGATTATTATAGTCCCTCATATATGTTCCAAGATAGTCTGACTGGGACATATATGTCCCGGACAAAATGGTGTATCGCAAGGATATCATTACTCTCAATTACTTTTTTTGCATGATTATAAATTTTAAACAAACAAATTCCGATTTGAAAGGGTTAGATATGACTAAATCTGAGACACTTTTATCATTAAATAAATTAATATAGTTTTATATAATGGAAAGAAAAATTTTGTAGAATAATAATACTTACTATTTTTAAACAATGGAGATCGAAAGTCTGCTCCAGAGTAAAAATATCCAGGAAATACAAAAGGTGGAGGTAGCGGAGCCATAGGAAAATATGGTGAAACCTGCGGATATTGATTCAAAGAAGATGCAAATGGATATTGTGGTAAATAAGGGCTAGTCGAAGGTAACATTAACCTTAATTGATCTTCCTTATGATGTACCCCGGCTTCTGCTGTAATTGCATATGGTCGCCCCACTTTTGTAACGAAATTCTGCTGACATTCTATACAATTTTTTCCTTTAATATCATCTCCCCCGATTCTCAGCATTACTTGTGCATTCGCTATGGATTTTGGGTGAAGATCTTTCTCTGATGGTTCTGCTGACTCATCTTTATGCTTAGATGCTAACTGTGGAGGATCAAAATTGTTTCTTTCTAGAATTTCGAAGTTGTCAAAGTTTACTCTGGAGAAGTCTTTTGGTGTACAAAATACATCTGATAGGTCTAAGTTCTCCGCGTCATCTGATTTTGTTGAGGCCTGCAACAAATATTAATAATATTAATAATAGAAAAACAATGTTCATTTCACAGTCTCTAAAGTTGTTTTTAACACACTTAGAAACATTATGTACTACGACAATAAATGTGATTACATTGTAATACGAAAATAATACGAACAATATGATATATATTTGTAAAAATATTGAAGATTTGTAGAAAAAAAACTATAAAAATAGATCATTATCATACTGGCTTTACCTGCCTGGGTCCTAGCCACCTCAAGAATTTCTTTTTAGTCATTCTTATCCAAAAATACATATTGTGAAAAATCAAAAGAATGAGTGAACGTCAGTGAGAACTGCAATATCATTAAACTTTGTATAAAATCTATAACATCAACTAACAAATCTATGATTAGATAGAAACATATTCGCTACAATTTATATATCTCAAAGGAACCCTTCTGATTACAACATATCCAATATTCTACAACATCCTGTACAGCCTGTTAAGTAGGAATAATACGTGTAAGAACTCTTGGGGCTCATATATACATGAACGGGACGGAGATAGAGCGAGTAAAACAGTATTGTTACCTGGGAACTATTATTAACGAACAGTGGAGCAATTTACAGAAAATAAAGTGCCGCATAGGAAAGGCAAGAACGGTCTTTAACAAAATGAGCGCCATCTTTAAAAGTCACAACATATGCCTTGATACAAAAATGAGACATTTGAGATGCTATGTTTTCTCTGTGTTGTTGTACGGGGCGGAATCATGGACGCTTACAGACGCCACTATTAAAAAACTTGAAGCATTTGAGATGTGGCTTTATAGAAGAATGCTGAGAATATCATGGACAGCAAGGATCACGAACAAGGAAGTTCTAGGAAAAATGAAGAAGGAACCAGAGATTGTGTTTACGATCAAACGCATAAAATTGCAATATCTGGGACACGTTATGAGAAATCAGCACCGTTACTCCCTGCTACAGTCTATATTTCAAGGTAAAGTCAAAGGTAAGCGAGGACCGGTAGAAGGAGAATATCATGGCTGCGGAATTTAAGAACATGGTTTAAGAAAACCTCAACGGAGCTGTTTCGAGCCGCAGCGAGCAAGGTTATGATTGCCAATATGATTTCCAACGTCCGAAACGGATAGGAACTAGAAGAAGAAGAAGAAACTCTTTGGTAAATACCAATTAGTTTAGGCCAGCTAGGTCAATATAATTGACCATATTTTTGTGCTACAAGACAAACCTTAATATAAGAAGCATAAATTAATAAGAATTGTAAAAAACCTATGAGAAAAATTATTTATTCTTCTTTAGATGCCGTTTACGTATTTAGACATTGGCCGTCATCATGTTTACAACTTCCTGAAACCTTCTACTCTTGTGTCACAACCATTGTCACACGTCACCATGCAATATAAAGCAGGCATGAAAGTTTCTTTCCTTTAATCCATCTCTTTTCCTGTACTATAAGGCAAACTAGATAATATTTGGGTACTTTAATCAAATGAGTGTTTTGTTTTTCCCCTCTATTTATATCTATTCATTAGACCTCCTTTCCATTAAGTGACAAAGGAACAGGAAGCGAAACAGGTACAGCTGATAAAACGAAACGAAAGAGAAGACACCAGAATAAATATTTTGAAAGAAGTGAAATGACAAAGCAAACACTTTCTAAAAGTGACGGAGAAAAAAAGGAAGTCAATGTTATAATTAAAATGATGCAAAAATTAATGGACAAAAATAAAGAAATGATGAATGAAATAAAACAAATGAGGAAAGAACAAATAGAAAGTGATAAACAACTAATGAGATAAACCTGGATAATGGAACACCTGTAGAAAAAAAGTTAAAAAGGAAAAGTTTGATTATATTAAGGATAAAAATAGATACAAATAATAGTAAGAAATTAATAGAAAGCATGGAAACATTCACATCGCAAGACCTGCAGGCACAAATAAAAATGAGAAATGCAACAAGAATATTAGAAACAGTCTGCGCCATAGAAACAAAAACCTTTACGATATAAAATTGAAATATTGAGTAAGAAAAGTAAGTTGAAGCGCCAAAGATCGCATCTACATAAATAAAGATCTGACATTAAAAGAAAAGAAAACACAAAAATATTTAACATAGCAAAGGAAGAAAAAAGTAAAGGCTATGGTAGCAAAAACATAAGTTTTATACATATTTATAGTGGAATAGAGAAAATCAAGAGAGTACAAGTAGTGGTATCAATTTTGATTAAAAAGACTTAAAAGAAAACATAAAGAGCTGGGTGCAAATTAAGGAGAGAATTATTAAAATATATATTACGTGGAAAGGCCAAGATCTCAATATCATTGGAACACACGCTTCATCCTAAAAACGATAGAAAAATGACCTCCTCCAACTAGAAGAAAACGAGGTAGACTAAGACCGTTCTGGAGAGAAGATGTCAAAGACGCAATGACCGACACAGATTTAAAAAACTAAACATTGCTTTAACAGAAAACACTGTAAATTAGAATGAGAAAAATGGCGCTAGCTGTAGAACATTGGCCTATTATATTTATATAGGTATACAATGTTAGTTCCAAACTTCTTTGTTATCTGATTCACCAATAATGAAAATAAACTGAAAATGCATTGAACCAATGGACAATGAAATGCAATGGGAGCTCAAATTGCGATCAGACAAATCTACATCATCTTATTTGCGGACGAGGTTGTTATTACTAAAGATATAGACCGTGCAAACTACCGAATAGAGAAATTAGTTGAAGAATACTCAAAATGGAGTCTATATGAAGTTATTGCTAAGAAAACTGAGTATCTCACAATACGAAAACATGTTGCAAAGGATATAAAGAACGATGCAGCGAACATTAGAAGAACACAATATTCATGTATGGGATTTCTGCATTACCCAATAACAAATTATTAATTTGAGATCTTTGTTCGATATTTTCCTTGTATATTATCAAAGTTCAAATAAAGAAATATTGATAATGTATGGAAACATCCGTTTTTTTAGGACTATATTTGAATTATTTCATTGAACCCTATGTTTCATTATCCCATGGTAAAAAAAGAAAAATCAAAGAAGCGGCTCTAATTATGCTAAATGAGGCCAATTGTGTCGCAAATTCCTCGGTAGAATGTAGTAGGATCTGGTTACCAATATTGAAAGAGGAAGCTATTAATAAGAAAATACCAGTATTAGTAAGTCAGTAACATATAGAGGATACATCATTTATGTTTTTTAAATAACGTAACATATAAAAGCAGAATTTTGATGTTTGTTGAAGGTAAACTAAATTCACGAACAAATACTTACAATGTCGGGATAGTATTATGAGGTTTTCTTTCCTGGTTTTTCCCTCGTAATTTACTATGGAATCACTAACAGGAGAATTTTACTGTCATCATGTCATGTGTTTGTCTTTTTAAAGATGAATTACATGCTATGATTTTTTTCTGACTGATATTCTCAAGTTAAAGTTGATTTCGTGTAATCGAATGAACTATCTTATAAGTAAAGTCGTCCCAGGAGCGCAACTCAACAATATTGGCAATATCATTTTAAAGTCGTCTACTTTAAAATGCATAATGTATGTCTGAATTGTCAGTATAAATGAGTCAGATAAAAACTAAATTATTAGAAGATTTTTTTCACTATGTAACAAAAAACAAAATTTGTTTAATTTACTGTTTGTATTTGAGAACGATTTCCGAAGTGGAAATTGAAACGTCAATAAACGTATTTTTATCTTTAATTGTGGCTTATTCCCAGTTAAATAGTAATTAATTTACAATGCCACATAAAAATAGCTTCAGAACAATATTAACTATTCTATTATTAAAGACTGTTTGCTGAAACTCACCCTTAACGCACACGACACTAACAGAAAAAATATAATTCGTACGTCGTACATGTTACGTTACGACGACTACAAAAAACAAATGCGGGCAACTAACTAATAGTTTTGGTTAGGGTACTTTTATAATAAAGTCGTACCTGAAGATCTATTTCCAAAATAGCACGTTTACCTGTTGTTTAAAATTGTCAAAACACAAATGACATTGAGAGGGAATGTACTGTAAAAAACGAATGTGAACTTTATTTGGTTAAAACTACAAACAATTTTATTTTAAATAATGTATACAAACTATAAATAACTATTAATTTTCCGTATGAATAAAGCTTTATTACATGTCGATATAAGATCACTAATTTTTATTTATCGTTTGTAATCAGTGTCTTTAAATTTAAACTTATCGTATATTATTTCTACTCGTATATCTGATAAATTAAGATCTCAAATTGATAATTTGTTATTGGGTAATGCAGAAATCCCATATATGGATATTGTGTTCTTCTAATGTCCCCTGCATCGGATTTTATATCCTTTGCAACATGTTTTCCTATTATGAGATGCTCAGTTTTCTTAGCAATAACTTATATAGACTCCATTTTGAGTATTCTTCAACTAATTTCACTATTCTGTAATTTTTATGGTCTATATCTTTAGTAATAACAGCCTCATCCGCAAATAAGATGATGTAGATTTGTCTGATTGCAATTTGAACTCTCATAGATTTGCGTCCATTGGTTCAATGTATTTTCAGTTTGTTTTCATTATTGGTGAATCAGATAACAAAGAAGTTTCGAACTAATTATTGTATATATAAATACAATAGGCAAATGTTCTACAGCTAGCGCCATTTCTCTTATCCTAATTACAGTGTTTTTTGTTAAAGCAATGTTTAGTTTTTAAATCTGTGTTGGTCATTGCGTCTTTGACATCTTCTCTCCAGAATGGTCTTAGTCTACCTTGTTTTCTTCTAGTTGGAGGAGGTCATTTTTCTATCGTTTTTAGGATGAAGCGTGTGTTTCAATGATATTGAGATCTCTCCTTAATTTGCTCCTAGCTCTTTAGGTTTTCTTTTAAGTCTTTTTTAATTAAAATTGATATCCCTACTTGTGCTCTCTTCATTTTCTCTATTCCACTATAAATATATGTATGAAACCTTGGATATTTCAAAACCAAATCCTTGGATATTTCATGGTCTTATATTGTCATTTCATAAGTCATTGTTCATTTGCTATGTCGTCTTTGTTTTTTCCGTTAGTGTCCTGAGGCTGGATTTTAGAATTTTTTTCAGAGGATCTTTTCATGGGTGTAGAGGAGCAGGCCCTACGCATCAACCCTGTCAAAAAGACCAAAATTTTCTTTTGGGATTTACTCCCTTAGCCAATCTAGTCCAGATTTAGGGACTACAACCAACATTGTGTGCTGATTA